CTATTTTTAGTAGAGATGGGGTCTTACTCTTGCTCAGACTGGTCTCAAACTCCTGAGCTCAAACGATCCTCCTGCCTCGGCCTCCCAGAATACTAGAATGACAAGCATGAGCCACTGCGCCCGGCCTGCCCATTTATTTGTTGATGGGCATTTGGGTTATTTCCACCTTTTTGGCTATTATGAATAATGCTGCTGTAAACATTTGTGCACAGGTTTCTATAATACAGTCTGTGATACTTTTTTTGGCAGCCCTAGCAAACTAATACATACTGTGTGCTTTCTTTCCTGCGTAGTCCTCAGCACACTTGCCAGACTGTTAAGTTCCCTAAGGTTGATGACATTAGTACAGTGCTTGCTTAATATTACTTAGATATTCTAAGCCAGCTGAATTGTTACATTTTCATTAATTCATGATAATCTCCCAAATATCATGGAGTCAGATCAGTATCTATTCAGCCACAGTCTAACTTAATAGTAGCATTAAGGCTTAATTTGAAGTCTAATGCTATGTCAGCTTCAAAGATTATGATGTGTTGAAGAAACCAATGGTAGTACTTTTTAGAGACATTATAAGTGATATTGAAAGACTATACTTGGACTATTTCTATAGTTCACTATAAGTGATAGTGAGTGTGGAGTGGACCCTCAAATGCAAGTTAGCAAATAGACTAAGGTCCTTGAGAATAGGAACTAGCTTCCCTAGCATCCAGTGCCTAGGTGTTGCCCAGTAAGTATTTGAAAGAAATGGAATGAAATGCAGTGAAATACAGCAATTATGTTCAGGTCGAGACTCTTGATCACATAATCTGTGGGTATTTAAATTCAAATGCATAGTTGCTATAGTATTCCAAAATGAATAATGTAAAAGAGTAAAAATGTTTCTTTTTCAAAGTACTAAATATTGTGAATGGTGAAAAAAAGAAAAATTCTAGGATTCTAGGTTAAATTAAATATTTAAATTTAACCCTAAAGAATTAAGAAGAATGAGATGATAGGAAGAATTCATAGCAAATTTTGTCAGTTAGGCACAGGCATTTCTGCCATAACATGATGTATGTCTTCCTGCACTAAGAGTGACAGAGTTTATGGGAATACCAGGATTAGGGGGCAGAGCGTTCAAAACCTGTGCAAGTTTGTGATTTGAGCACTGACAAAAACTTAATAAATACACTTGCATACTTAGAGACATGTTAAATTCTTGAAACAATACTACAGTCAATTTAGAACTTTCCCTTAAGAAACAGTAAAGGTGAAGGTAGCCTGATTAAAGAAAACGTAAGGGAGAGCTGAGGGTGCAGCTGGAGACAAGAAAGTATCAAAATGAGAATGTATCAAGATTAGGGAGAACCTTGCAATAAGCTCTTGTAAAATCTATTATGTAGCCATATTGAGCCAAGAGGAAAGTGGAGTGAGTGAGCATCACATACTGTTCCTCCATGGCTGGCTGTATTTAGCTGCTGTTATTTTGCACCTGCAAGTGCAAAAATGTTAGGAAAAATTGGAAATGAACCAATGTGATTTCTGAGTTTACTGACATAATTCCTTTACTTACTGATTAGCTTATGAGCTAATTCATGTTTTGAAATGTGTTGTAGCAGAATGGTTCTGCCCAGGTTTCAACCTTCAGGACCTCTCACTTATTCTATAACAGTATCTTCCAGCTATGCGTGCCCTTCTGAACTCTCTTGTCCAATTTGTTCTTTGCAATACTAGAAGAGTTGTATTCTTTTGGAAACCATAAATCTTATTAAGTCAGTCTTCCATCATTATTTATGTTTTTTTTAAACATTGGTGTGTGCACAGCATTCTCATTCCATGGTTTCTACTTTCATGCTTTTTCAGTTTGCCTCATTTGCTACATGATAGAAGTTTTCTTCACACCATGTTTTAGGAAGTATGCCCTTAGTTTTAAATTCTACCATGGGTAAGTTACTTTTAGGACCTCAAATAACAAATTTATTATCAACTGACTAAAAAAATTTTGTCAAGCGACTCCCTGCTTGACATGATGAAAGGTGAAAATAGAAGTTTAAATGCTCCTTCCTTGTGTTTTCCACTGTCTTTATTCATTTTTGTCTCCCAATTTTTGTTAGAATGGCATGTGATGTACTGTTCTTAGTCACACTTTGTAACAGTGTAGCCCTTTCCAGAGCTATTAAATTTACATTCTGTTCTAGAACCGTAATAAATTGTCATATACACTTACATGCCTAAATGAATTTATCGTTCGTCCCTTATCTTTTGATACCACTGTTTCTGTTAGTTCTTTATTTTGATATAAGTCTCTGGCTTATAGTGCACTCAATGTTTTTCTGGAAATTCAGTGAAAGGTTTTGATCAAATTTAGGTCTTCATGTCAGGAAATTTCTATTCTATCGTATCCTTACTTATATTTTCTCTTATTTATTTTGTTGTCTACCTCAGGGGCAGCAGTTAACTAACTGTTGGGTCTTTATAACTCATCTTCTAACTTTTTTATTGCTGTGCTGCTTTTTCTTTACATCTTGTTTGGTTTTTCCCAAAATTAGTCTGTATTAGTGACTCAGTTTTCTTGCACTGACTGTTCTGTTATTGATGCATTTATTAATTGTGCTGTTATATTTGTATTATAACTTTCTTTGTTTAATTCTGCATGGTACCTTTTCAGTGTTATGTTAATCTTGAGAGTCTGTTTTGTATATTTATCTTGAGAGTGTTGAAGCAATTCTTTCAGAAATTTTCTTCTGTTTTCTTGTGATAAATATTAATCCTGAATGTATTTCATGTACCTTTTAAAATCTGGGTCTTCTTTTTTTTTTTTTGAGATAGAGTCTCGCTTTGTTGCCCAGGCTAGAGTGAGTGCTGTGGCATCAGCCTAGCTCACAGCAACCTCAAACTCCTGGGCTCGAGTGATCCTACTGCCTCAGCCTCCCAGGTAGCTGGGACTACAGGCATGCACCACCATGCCCGGCTAATTTTTTTATATATATATCAGTTGGCCAATTAATTTCTTTCTATTTATAGTAGAGACGGGGTCTCGCTCTTGCTCAGGCTGGTTTTGAACTCCTGACCTTGAGCAATCCGCCCGCCTCGGCCTCCCAAGAGCTAGGATTACAGGCGTGAGCCACAGCGCCCGGCCTAAAATCTGGGTCTTCTTTCTCATTCTTCTTTCCTGTCCTTTTTTCCCCTACATTGCTTCCATCTCACCTTTCTCTTTTCTTCCCTTCTTTCTGTTTGTCCTGTAAAATTTTTCTGTTTCCATGCTCTCTACTCTTTTCCTTATTTTGTACCTTGCAGTAGATTCTCTTGTAATTTACTCTGAATTCACCTAGCTATTGTTCAAATGGTTTTGTTAGCCCTTGGAATGCAAAATTTTTTTAAGTCACTATAAATTCACCTGGTTATGGTTTGAATGGTTTTATTAGCCCTTGGAAAGCCTTATAGAAGAAGTTCTCTGTGATCTTGTAGAAGGAGGGCCTTTGACTCCTTTTCTTCTGCTGCTTCAGGATCAGCTAATATGCTACTTTGGAGGTGTGGGACTTTAGTTGTGGTGGTGCTGCTGAGGTTGGGGGGTAAGATTGATTGATTTGTAATTTTCTTAGTCCTTTCTCTTCTTTAGCCTTTCTTTTGTATAAAGGTCAAAGGTATAAAATCCTGCCTGCTAAAATACTGTTTAGTCACCAGGAGAAGGGGAGCTCTAGGGCCTTCTATATCTTTTCCCTTATCACACTAGTGTCCCCATCTACAAAGTTGCAAGGTGCCAATCAAAATTTCTGTGGCTGGAGGAGCAGGCAGGGGATGCTATATGTAACTTCTGGGCTTGGTCTTCCAGTTTGGGTAACTCATTCTGTGTCTGATGATACTTTTCTGTAAAAGTTCATGGTATGAGTTTGAGATCTTTTCTTGATTTAAGGATATTTTAACTTCCATTTGTTTATTTCCTTTAGTTCTTAGGGAGGGATGCTCTTCTGCAAACCTACCTATGACACCATCTTTTCCTGGAAGTCTCATAGTACAAGAAAGAACTTTTAGAATAAGAAAATAGGACATTATTTAAACTGAAATAACATTCCTCCTAAAGATAGCTCTGGATCAATTCTGCAAAAGAAAAATATATTTGTTAAAAATTTTGCAAGCGTGAAGGGGTTTACTTCTTCTAGGATACTCTCTAAATGAATAGTGTATGATCTCTCAAAATTTCTTATTTGGAACTTCTGTAATGGATGGTGACATTTTCAAAAGTCCTCCTAAGTTTTAGTGAACCTGAAACTTTAATATTTATAAAAAACTCAGGGAATTGATTGAAAATGCAGATTTCTGGACCCTGTGCCCAGAAGGTCTAATTCACTGGAAATTTCATTTGTAGCCAGTTCACTATGTTGCAGGTGGTCCATGGTTTAACTTTGAATAATGCTATCTTCAGTGTTAAAATAATCATATTTAATTATACAGTAGATATTTTAGGTAACTAGGGCATTTCAGGCCGTCCCATGGGGCTGAATAGCTGACAGCTGCTCAGCTTGGCTTCTAGAGGACTTACTGCCCACCAAGGTAAATGTTAGCTTCATTGTCTTCTCTTTGTCCCAAAGCTCAATTCGCAAACTTTGTGATTTTTGTGGACTGGAAAAATCTTTGTCACCCCCACCAAGAAATATGACATAGGTTGCCGCATTTTTATTTTGCTGAACGAGGACGTTAAATAGATCAACAATGAAAGAAAGGATATTTTAACACCTCTCCACAGCCACCAAAGATATAAATAAATACACATGTAGAAAGAACACGACCTGTTAATACTGATCGTGTTTTACATTGCATATATTTAGCTTTAGGCAACACCCACTCTATTTTCTTCTTTTTTTAAAAAAAGTTTTATTTAGCTGTAGGTTAATGAATACTTTCACACAGATGACATTTCAGAACTGTTGCTTAGTACTTGGAATAGAACAATTATACAATCTGAGGCACTACTTGAATATGATGAGTAGTCATGCATCTCATATCCTTTATTTTCTTACCAGTTCGATCCTTTGGTACAGAAGACAGACCAACAGATCGTCCAATACCACCTCGAGATGAAGTCTTTGAATACATCATTTTCCGAGGGAGTGATATTAAAGACCTCACTGTTTGTGAGCCACCAAAACCACAATGTTCTTTGCCTCAAGATCCAGCTATCGTTCAGGTAACTTACAGTAAATTTGTCTTGGAGTGCAAGTAGACCTCACACATAGTTAGCTTTGGCTTTTGCCTCTCCCAATTGGATGTTCATGGAGCTTATCATTTCTAAGTTACTTGAATACCAGAAAGTAATGTTCTCATCTAGGTTTTTCTCTTTGCATCATAATATAGGACTAAATTAGGTAAGAAATAGCTGAGAAGTTTATTTTTTATTTTTTTACTTTTCTTTCTCTTTTTTCTTTTCTATAACTTTATTAGGAGAGGTTTGTTTTTATTATAAAATATTTTCTAATTTCAACAGTTACAACAGGTAACATTGAGGGCTAACTCTGTAAGAAGCACTATTCAAAAAGGACTGTACATAAATAAGTCAATTCTCATAACACCTTCTGAGCTTGGTACCATAATTATTTTTGTTTTTACAAGTGAGGAAATTGAAGTACAGCCACAATTTGAATAGATCCAGGCAGTCTGGCCCCAGAATTGAGGATCCATGCCACTCTGCTGTTTAGATATGGTTCATATTGCAAACCAGGTTGATAATGGCTACTCTTAAGGAAGCTAATTAGGCTTAAGGGAAGGAAAAAAGCTAAATCACATACTGCACATTATATAATATGCGATATTATGTAAGATAGCACAAACATAAATGAATTTTAACATTTTAACTTAGATAAAATTTTGAATTTCCTAAATAAGGTATTTATTTTATTAAATAAAAAACATGATGTCTAAACAATTATATGAATTAAAGAGGATATCCATTATAGTTCATGTTTACATGTTCATTGGAAACATATAAAAGCTCTCTGAATTTCAGCTGTAACAGAAGCAGCTTTACATAAGAGTATTTTTTACTTGAAGGCATAGGTAATTAAAAGGTTGTGGCCCTTTTAAGAATAGATTCTTAAAATATATGTCATCTTGCATAGGATTTTTCTTACTTTGAGGTATTAAAGGAAAAATACTAATGGATTATTCTAAAGAAAATAGAGAATGGTATGTAAAAATTAAAGTGAAAAAGAGAGAAATGTACCTTGTAACATTTATTTACTATTTTTTCCTGAGTATTAGATAAGCTTTTGAATAAGAAATTACAAGTTTTGTTCTTGTAGCATAAACTGGAGAAATTCTCTACACTCAGCTATCCCTTCTTTTTAAGTCATATTTTTGGGGAAAGAAAGCCTAAACCTAAAAAATCTCTTAAATGAAGGAAGAAGAGACACATCTTAATAGAGATAACTGCTTATACCAGAGACTGGTGTTATCTTACTGTCTCTTATATATGGCTTTCAATAATTCTCCAGGGAACCAGTTATTTGAGTAATCAGTTTATGGAAAGAGGAAAACCCAAGACAGCACAAATCAAAATGGTATTGAATAACTTCTTCCAACCATCATGAACTTATACTTGATCTTTTTATTCATTCATTCTGCAGTATTTTTTTAGTGTCTGGTTTGTGCTTGACACTCGCAGTGAATACACAACACAGATAAGCTCTCCCATCAATGAACTCATATCCCAGTGTCCTTTAATTTACTTCATGTGTATATTGTAAAATATTTTATAATAAGATAATATATGAAGTATATATGTTAAATATTTTAAAATATTATTTTAAGTTTGGTAAGTTAGGGTTTTTATAAAATGCTCCTCAACTCAATGTAACTGCAGATAAAAATGTAAATGGTGTTGTGTGGGTATGTTTGTTTCTGTATCTCTTTCCTGTGAATTTAATAGTAGGCCTCAAATGATTGAAAGTGAAAATAAAATCAGCACCAGACAAAACCCAGTATTACTAAATGTGATTTTTCTCATATTTTTCTTTAAGCAATGTTACTTTACTTATTCATGTAACTTTTCTTTTATTCCTTGTTAAATCTGCTCTAAAACTCTTAACTTGGAGAATTTATTGTGGAAAGAAGTATTTGTAAATCACATTGTGTATAGTTGGCACATAGAGACAAATGTTGAAATTAGAAGGTTGTCCAACTGATTATTATGCATTAATGTTATGAATATACATTAATATTAAATGCATATTGTAATTGCTTTTGTTTCTGGTAGTTATAATTTAATAGTTTTCCTAAAAATTAAAAAATCTGAATTTTTTCCCACTATATACTGTTGCTTAGAGCTTGGAAAAATAACTCATGATTTTCTTTCAGTCTTCATTAGGTTCATCAGCTTCTTCATTCCAGTCAGTGGGCTCTTATGGACCTTTTGGCAGGATGCCCACGTACAGTCAGTTCAGTCCCAGTTCATTAGTCGGGCAGCAGTTCGGTGCTGTTGGTGTCGGTATGTTTTCTTTTCTTTTTCCTTTTTTATTTTGTGTTTGTGGGTGTGGGTGGGTGTTCTCCTTTTCTTTACCATAAAGATATAGAAAACTTACCACAAACTTCTGGAAATGTTGTTTGATGTTCCTTTTGTTACTGTTTTTATGGTGTTGAGAACACATTTTTATTATTATTTTAAAGCCTTTATTTAATGTCCTTAATGATTTTATAAAGGTCAGCTTTCAGAATAGTCACATTTTTTTAAAACCTAGGTATATCCAATTACCAAATTTTATTGAATGTTATTTTAAATTTACATAAGATATGTCCATTTAAAATATCTTTTCAGAGAGGATGAGTTTTTAAAAAGGGCATTAGAGGTGATATCATATTTATAATTAGGGAACGATAATGCCATTAAGGAGTATTGATTATTTTATATGGAGTGTGGATGATTATATAATTTAACACACCCACATATGAGAAATACACATAGCATGTTTCAGGGCTTGGTGCTTTGTTTATTGTAACAGTGTTTTCTAAACAAAACTGTAATGGAGTGTTTGGAGGGGCTGCTGGGCTAATAGAATCCTACTTATGACTAGAGGACAAAGGCCGCTGAGTGCAAAAGCTCAGTGTAATCAGATCAGTGTTTCGTTCTTATAGTTATGCTAAATATACCTTTATAGAAGTTCCCACAGAAAAGAATAACTTTAAATCTCAAGCTTTATCTCTTAGTCTTCTTAAATTCCATTTAAACAATTAAATACCCTATTTCATTACATTACAAATCCAGTTTTAAGCGTATCTTGAAACTCATTAATAAGCTAACAAGGTTTGTTAAAATTATTTAATTCCTTTCCATGAATATGATTTTTTTATACTTTTCAGGTATGTAAATGTTTTACTTATTCACAAAATAAAAAAGAATGGGAAAAAGCAAACTCTCAAATTGAATGACTATGAACAGCAATAGCAGATACTAACTATATATCAAATTGATAACCACAGAAAAAAGTTAATTCATTCCATCCAAATTGTTGCCAAAAAAAAAAAAAAGTTAATTCAAATAACTTTCATACTCTTAGTAGGATATATTCTAACAACAAATCAAACTTTTAAGAAAACTTGACTTAGGTGTGTGATTACTGGTGTTTTTGATTCTAAAACTGTTTTGGGTGTTTTATAGGATAGGGCAAATAAGTAAAATATTGATATTATTGGGAAATAGTGTTCTTTCCATGGAGAAGGGAGATACAAATATGGAATGGGGAAAGGTGAGAAAGAACCCTGTGATGCTGAATTTGAATTAAAGGTCTGAGTGTGAACTCTTTTAAAAACTGATTATTTCCTGGTTCTGTTCATAGAACCAGAGGCTAGCAGCAGCCGAAACCCTGTAGCAAAAAACACATGTAGACCCAGTTCCTGATTTCCAAATACCACTCCCCACTAAAACAAGGGCCCCTTGAAAACAGAAAAGGAAGAAAAGAAATACTTTTTTTCATGGAAAAATGCCTGCTAATAAATAGAAGGCGTGGTAGATATAGAAAATCACCATTTTCTAATCTCCAGGGTAATAGTTAGCAAGGATTATCATTGAATGTTAAAGTCATTGGGTGAAAGATGTTGGAACAGGATATTAAGATGACTTTAAAGTCTCATCCCACAGCTTACTTATCAATCACAAAGGGGAAAAATACTTATAACACATCTACTGGTTACCATCTTAATCAACTGATTGGGTTTAGTATTGCTGGAGTGAAATAATTGTGTCTCCGAATGTGATGACTGGCTGGGGACACACACCTTTGTGGTGCTCTTGCTGAAAATGCACGATCTAACTGTGAAGAAATGGGCATATATATCCAGAAGGCAGGATGTTCTGTAAGACAGTTATCCAGACTTTTCAAAGGAGTCAATGTTAGGAAAACAGAGGCAGCAGAACTGTTACAGGCTGGGGGACATTGAAGAGAAGTAACATCGAAATGTAATATGTGATTGGATCCAGGGCTTTAAGGAAACTAACATAAATAACATTTTAGGGACTACTGAGGACTTTTGAGTATGGACTAATGTTGGATGGTGCTATTACTGTTGATTTGCTTAGGTGTGGTGATGGTGTTGTGGTTAATCACATAAATAAATAGGAGACTATTTTTGTTTTAGGGAGATGGGTTTGAAATATTTAAAGGTAAAGGGCCAGCTTGCATGTCTAAGCAAAACAGAAGTGTGCACATTAAGGTGTAAAGAAATGGAGAGCCACGCATGGTGGCACACCTGTAGTCCCAGCTACTCGGCTGAGGTGGGAGGATTGTTTAAGGCTAGCCTGGGCAACATAGCAAGAACCCATCTCTTTAAAAAAAAGAAACAGGCCGGGCGCAGTGGCTCACACCTGTAATCCTAGCTCCCTGGGAGGCCGAGACGGGCAGATCGTTTGAGCTCAGGAGTTTAAAACCAACCTGAGCAAGAGCGAGACCCCGTCTCTACTATAAATAGAAATTAATTTCCCAACTAATATATATATAGAAAAAATTAGCCAGGCATGGTGGTGCATGCCTATAGTCCCAGCTACTCAGGAGGCTGAGGCAGAAGGATCACGTAAGCCCAGGAGTTTGAGTTTGCTGTGAGCCAGGCTGACGCCATGGCACTCACTCTAACCTGGGCAACAAAGTGAGACTCTGTCTCAGAAAAAAAAAGAAACAAAGTAGATGTGGCAAGGTGTTAACAGTTGATTAGTCTAGACTTACTTTAGGTGAAATAGTATAACTTTGGTCCATAAATCTCCTAATCCTGTTCAAGTAGTAAGTTCAACGTTATTTATACATGTTAAATCAAGATATACCCTACGTTAGCTATTACTGGTGGGGTTATTTTGTGGGGTTTTTTTGTTTTTGTTTTTGAGACAGAGTCTCACTCTGTAGCCTGGGCTGGAGTGCCGTGGCATCAATGTAGCTCACACCAACCTCAAACTCCTGGGCTTAAGCGATTCTCCTGCCTCAGCCTCCCAAGTAGCTGGGACTACAGGCACCCGTCACCGTACCCGGCTAATTTTTTCTATTTTCAGTTGTCCAGCTAATTTCTTTCTATTTTTAGTAGAGATAGGGGTCTTGCTCTTGCTGAGGCTGGTCTCAAACTCCTGAGCTCAAACGATCCGTCCTCCCAGAGTGCTAGGATTACAGGTGTGAGCCACCATGCCCAGCCACCTATGTTAGCTATTACTGTTAAAATCCTTTCCTGAGTATTCAAATATGAGATGATTGCAAATTATATTATCCTTTTTGAGACTCTTTTAGTAAATTAAATAGTTGACTAACATTTGAATCATTATTGTACTTACTTAAGTACCATGAAGTTTGTATGACTTAATCTATATAAAGATTTGAACAGGATCTAGCATATACTACCTAGGTAGTAACTACTGTTTCTGCCATTCTTCATGGTCTGTGCCTCTAATCAGAGTATTTTGTGGTAGTGAAGTGCTTTTATCTAATTTCAGTATTATTATGGGTTGTTGTCTTATTCTTTGGATGTCACCAGTAGAGGAGTTTACTGGTATTTTCCATGTCAGTAGACTAATTTTTGCAGTGTCAGATTTTTGATTGATTGATTTTCATACTGGTTAGGATAATTTATGGAGTGGCTAATTAGAAAACTATGTTAGAAGTTGCTTCCAGGCTGGGTGTGGTGGCTCACGCCTTTAATCTTAGCACTTTGGGAGGCAGAGGTAGGAGGATGGGTTGAGCTCAGATGGCTTGGCTTGGAGACTAATCTGAGCAAGAGCAAGACCCTGTCTCTACTATTTTTTTTTTAAATAAATTTAAAATTCTTTTTCTCACGTTTTCAGAAAACGTTTGCTGACACCTGACCTAGAATGGATTCTTGGGAAGTAAAATATAAAATGCAACACCACTTATAATAACATCAATAAAAACCAAATACCCAGGAGTTAATATAGCAAATGATATTTTAAAACTCCTACAACACTATTGCTGAATGGACAGGGTGCTAATTTTACCTTCCTCTCCCAGGGGAAATTTGGCAATGTATGGAAACATTTTTGGTTGTCACAACTGGTTTCTAATAGGCAGAGGCCAGGGATGCTAGGACAACCCTCTCACAACAAAGAATTATCTGGCCCCAAAAATCTTGCTCTGCAGTGAAAAAAACAAAACTGCTGAGAGAAACTAAAGAAGATCTAAATAAATGGAGAATTAATCCATGCTTGTGGATTGAAAGATTTAATATTTTTCAGATGATACTTTCCCCCAAATTGACTTATAAATTCAGTATAATCCCAATCAAAATCCTATTGGACCTTTTTAAGTAGAAATTGACATGCTGATTTTTAAAACTTATATGGAAATTCAAAGCCAAAGCAATTTTGAGAAGTAAAGATTGAGGTTTGTGCCACCCAATTTCAAGACTTACTATAAAGCTACAGTAATCAAAACTGTGGATTATTGGTATAAGGAGAGAGAAACACACCAGGGCAACAGAATAGAGAATACAGAAATAGACCAACTCAAATACTGACTTACAAAAAGGTTCTGGCGCAGTTCAACGGAAAGGGGAACATCGTTTTAACAAATGGTGTTGCAGCAGCTATGTATCTATGTTGAAAAAACAAACCTTGACCCTCCCTTAAACCATATATAAAAAATAATTTGGACAGATTATTATTGACATAAATCAGTAGCAGATTGGGGCATGAGGAGGCAGTGTGGTGTGATCAGGAGCTCAGAGAAGAGATGGCTAACCGTCAAATGCGTGACAGAGCGCAAACAATAGGAGGTCAAGTCAGCTGAGAAAATAGAGCAGCGTAGAAATATGAATATACATCACATCGTCAGAGTGGCTTAAGTCTTGGTCATTATCCAGGAATACTAGAGCTAATGGAGTGGGTTCAGCTTCCCACAGAACAATTGAAAGCACTAATCCCAGCATTCCTGAGGAGGTTGTGGGAGGTTCTGTTCGGCCTCTCCTGACCTTGCTGTACCTGCAGCCTGACTGGATTGCACCTCTAAGGGCGGTCCCAGTGGCTCCCATTGTCTGGGATACTGTGCAGTGTTCTGGCGCCCCATTTTAAAAAGGTTTATAAGTAAATAGAATTCATTAAATTAGGAGGAATCCAGAAGAGGAAGAGGGGAATATGTCTTAAAGACCATGTAAAGTGAGTAATGGTTGAAGAATCTGGAGTTTCCTAGTCTGGAAATGAGCAGATTGCAAGGGGCATGATCATCATCTTTGTATGTTTTGAGAGAAGAGGGTAAACTGCTGTGGTCTGAACTGGTAAAAATAAGAAAAGTGACGAGAGAAGAGATAGGCAGATAAAAGGAGGACTTTATAAACTTAGGAGAATAGTTTGAACTTTTGTCTTGACAGTGGAAACCATTGGAAGGCCTTAAGCACTGTAGTAATGTGATTATAATTGTATTTTATGAAAGATTATTCTATCATGTTTAGATTGGATTTAAAGGGTGTTGAAATATAGAGAAAACTTACGTGATGAAATAATAAGAAAAAAGAGCAAAGGATATGAAAGTGAATGATCTATAAGTACTAGAGAAACTTAGAGAATTGACATGATGCAGTACAGCAGAGAATTGGGCCCTTTCTAGGGATTTTATTACTCATATTAGAACTTTTTGCAGCTGCTTTAGGCAGAATGCCGCCCCACAATCCCATCTTAAGGGAAAGCATTGAAACTAGATTTTGCCTTGGAAATGCTGAAAAAGCTCCTAGTAGACCTTTGCGCTGATTTGCCATTTGTATAGATACTTAGTATTAGAATAATTGGACTTTACTGTTGGTGTAGAATATACCGTTTCTGCTACTTCTGTAGCTGGTCTGGGTCCTTGGTGTCCCATCTGGATAACTGCCTGGGACAGGACTGCATGTGTTATGAAAATTGTTTGCATACAAGGATGCTGCACTGGCTTTCTCCCCCCTATTATTGTCAGTCGATTTCCCAGACTGTTGTTCAATATGCTTTAATTAATTTTGAAGATGACTAATTTGTACAAATGTTGGGGGGGGTGGGCAGATAATCATTATTGTCATTAAAATGCTATATTACATTATATAAGTCAAAAGATATAAAAGATTTTTAAAAATTTTTTATCATTTAAAAAAACTCAAGCTGGAAGCTCCTTGACATCCTTTGGAACAGAAACATCGAACAGTGGCACCTTACCCCACAGCAGTGCAGCTGGCTCTGCCTTCACACAGGACACAAGGTCCCTAAAGACACAGCCATCTCAAGGTGAGCTGGTTTTCCTTCCAGGATTTCCATTTTAAGCTCCTATAGTGGTTTTTGTCTTTCTCTGAATGTAAGAAGAGTTCTTGTAGCTTGTGAATCACATGTGTAATTTCTATTTGGTGTTTTTTCCCCCTCCCAATTGCTGTGTTGCAATAAATATTTTATTGAATGACCCAGTATAGTCTAAATGGACTCCTGCTATTTAGATGTTTCACAGTTCTTAGATCATGAAACTGAAATGGGGGGGGAGGGCATTCTCCCAAGTTTGACTTTTTTTTTTTTAAAGCAATTATTAAACTGGCATACAACTTAAATGTACCAAATCAGTCCCAGACTCAACATTGAAAATGAGGTATCCTAGATGAATTTGAAGTATCATTTAGGAAAAAAACCCTATTTGTTATACTTTTGCATTTTCCCTAACATCCTCGGAGGACGTAAAGCAGTGGTTCTCAGTGTGGACTGCCCACAACTGAATCATCTGGAATGCTTCTTAAAAATTCAGATCCTGAGACCTACATCAGAATCCCTAGAGCCTAGGGATCTGCATTTATTAAGCCTCTTAAAGGATCCTGTTTCATTTTTAAAAATTCTGTTTTCCACCAACTGGTCTCATAACCTAAAGTATTCACAAGATTCTGTATCTATTTTTACCCGCTGCTAAAGTGGGTATTATTGGTTTATTGCATTATATGGATTTATTTTGGATGTTTACTTTTTTTTAAAAGGTAATATAGGCCGGGCGCTGTGGCTCACGCCTGTAATCCTAGCTCTTGGGAGGCCGAGGCGGGCGGATTGCTCAAGGTCAGGAGTTCAAAACCAGCCTGAGCAAGAGCGAGACCCCGTCTCTACTATAAATAGAAAGAAATTAATTGGCCAACTGATATATATATATATAAAAAAAAAAAATTAGCCGGGCATGGTGGCGCATGCCTGTAGTCCCAGCTACCCGGGAGGCTGAGGCAGAAGGATCACTCGAGCCCAGGAGTTTGAGGTTGCTGTGAGCTAGGCTGACGCCACGGCACTCACTCTAGCCTGGGCAACAAAGTGAGACTCTGTCTCAAAAAAAAAAAAAAAAAAAATCAGTAATTGTCCTAAAACCTAATCCATTGATTATATAATGGGGATAAAAGATGATGTTCACAATAATGCAAAAAGTAAATTATGTACAAAGTATGTAATAAGAAATATGGCCAACTTCTGTGATGAAAAATGCTAATATAATAGAGAGACATAAAGAAAGTCACAAATAATAGAGAGAAACACACCTTGTTCCTAGGTAAAAGACTCAGTATTGAGAAGACTTTATTTCTTCTATTAGTTAAATTTATTGCACCTTCAGTCAATGCAAATGGAATGGTAGGAGAACTTAATAAAACAGAAAGATTATCTTAAAAATAAATATGGAAGTATAGCTGGACATATATGAAAAAAGTAATGGGCTTACCTACTTAATAAAATAAAATGGTACAAGAATAAATTTAGAGATGAATGGAACAAAATAGAAGTCAGAAACATGAAAGTATAAATAAGAATTTAGTAGATGGTAAAGGTTTTATTTTTAAATTAGTACAGAAAGACTCACTATCCCAATAAATAATGCTAGGACAGACAACTGTGTGATCATTTAGAAAAAATAACTCTAGATTCCTTACCTCATATTGAACACTAAAAAAATAAATACATTTTAAATAGATTAAAATTATTAAAATTTTTAGGATATATGTTGAAAGTTAGAGATATATTTACATAAAGCTATGGCAGAAAAGGCCTGTGAGTTTGCATTTCATCAATAAAAATTTCTTTAATTTCACAAAATTAAGAATACTTGGAATTTTTACTAAGAAAATAACATGAAGAGAGCTCAAGGTGTAGTGTGTTTTTATTATGCTGAAATAGCTTCTGGGTTTATTCCCAATAATATGTCCATTATCACCTATATTTCCCTATTGATAATAACAATTGACATCATGATTAGTAGACTTTAATAGTAAAAAGATTTTATTAAGTACACAATAAATGGGTTTGTTACTTGCTCTGATTGCCCTCTCACTTGTTTGTTCTTCTGTAATACTTGTGATTATGGGACTTTTCTCAAATAAAAGCCTTGATAAAATAGTTTTACAAACTTATAAAATCATTTAAGGTAGTACTATAAAATTAGCTAAAGCAATAGGCTTTTAAAAAAACCTGACATGTGTTTTATAAGTGATTATAATATGTTTTCTCATAGGCCAAAACTTATATAAACCATCGTGATTTCCCATTATAATCATTAGGAAAAGTATGCTATTTCTATTAATAGCAACTTAATTTTTAAATGGTTTAATGGTAACTTATTCTTTTGGCTAAAGTGACTTTGCCGTCAGTACCTGAAATGGCGTCACACATCTGCAGTCTCATATTTAGATAATCATAAACTTGGGAATGTTATTAACAAATTGTCCCTGAAGCATCTGGGTGCACAATGATCAGTTGTCAGCACTCGCCAGTTCACCAGTTGTTTGGAGCCGTGCACAGACAGATGGTAACGCTTGCAGCATATTTGGAGATATTTCTGGAGAAAAGGAGCATAACTTTTAAGCAGAACATTATATTTTGGTACAGTATCATGGGATATGAGAACTCCTTGAGCAGAGATTTACAGCAAAACATTATAGGGACAAAAAACATGATGAGAGCACCCGATCTTACATTCTTCAGTTCATACTGTGGCCAGCCTTTAACCTCGTAAAAGGAGAACTAGAATTTGTGAGTACAAACCCCATATTAAGCCAGAATTTGTCAAGAAATCTTTCGAAAGTCAAGGAATGAATCTGGCAACTGTGTAATTTATCTGAAGGGTTTATTTGTTGCTGGCCTTTTAGATTTTATGTTTAATTATGCAAACTCCTAAGGTATCAAAGAACTTCACCTACCTTACTTACTAGTTCTTTCCTTTTTGTCATCTATGAACGGTTGTTGTGGAAAGCCTACATCTGAGCTGCCTACTACATAATCCTTGATAATATTCCTAGGGACTCTCCTACCAAGCAGCAATTTTTGAAAAACTTAAACTTTATTCCACTAGGTAGAAATACAGATAAAGTTGTGAGGGTGGGCTTTTTTGTTTGTTTGGGGTTTTGTTTTGGTCTTTTAATTTTTTTTATTAACCTAGTGACCAGCCCACTAAGGATAACCAGTTTAAAACTCTGGTCTAATAAGTAGATTGATTCAAATTTGTGCTTTGTGCTAAGGATTTGAATTGGTAGAAATAACTCTAGACTTTTTTTTTTTTTAAGGGTCTAGATTATTTTGAAATCCCCAGTAGGGTAGTTCCTTACCTTTTGGTTACGTTTTAGGTCGTTCAAGCCCTCAGTTAGACCCTTTGAGAAAAAGCCCAACCATGGAACAAGCAGTACAGACGGCCTCAGCCCACTTACCTGCTCCAGCACCTGTTGGGAGAAGGAGCCCTGTATCAACCAGGCCTTTGCCATCTACCAGCCAAAAAGCAGTAGAGAATCAAGAGCACAGGCGAGGTAGAACTTTAGCTTTTTACTGTTTCTCAATTGACTGATCAACATTTTCTGCTCACCTTATTTTCATTAAAAGGATTTACTTCATGTGAATGATCCTAGAAGGTTTAAACTGAACTCGATAGAATGTTCAGTCTTTCAGATTTGACTCAAAGTGGTGGTGGTGGGGTTAATAGTTTTTTGGACATTGCATAGGTTTTGGTTTCAGTTGTTTTTTCCCATTTCTGACTTTACAGAAGTTTTTGATTATGTGTCCTGAGTTGATTTGTCATTTTGCATGTCTTCTTCTATAGCCGAAGTACATAAAGTTTCAAGGCCAGAAAATGAGCAACTCAGAAATGACAGCAAGAGACAAGTTGGTAAGTTCTTGAATCTGAAAGTCATATCCTGTGCTTCTCGTTAGAACATTTAAATACATGATACATAATTACTATAATAATGTAAGGGAGGGGTTGGTGATTATGAAGGATGAACACAAGTGAGTGTCATTGTGGTGACAGTATAGTTCTTTATCTTGGTTATGGTGGTGATTATGTAAATCTGTGTATGTGGTAAGATAGATAAGAGGTCATGATAAGATGTAAGATGTCACAGATAAAGACACAAAGATAAACCAGAAAATGAGTACACATGAACCCGGCACAGTGGCTCACACCTGTTATCCAGAAACTAGGGAGGCCAAGATGGGAGGATCTCTTGAGGCCAGAAGTTCAAAACCAGACTGTGGAACATAACATAGCAAGGCCCCGTCTATAAAAAATTTTTTTTTAAAGATTAGCCAGGCATGGTGGCACCTGTACTCCCCCTCCCCACTATTCAGGAGGCTGAGACAGCAGGATCCGTTGAGACCATGAATTCAAGGCTGCAGTGAGCTATGATTGCATCACTGCACTCAACCTGGGAGACAGACACTATCTCTTTAAAAAAAAGAATAAAAAAAGTACATTTAAAAACTGATGACGTCTAGCAGTGAGTTTTTCATTTAAAAAAAAAATAAGAATAAAGAAAAACTGATGACGTATGAATAAGGTTAGTTCAGTTAATTATATTGTGCCAGTGTCAATTTCTTGGTTTTAAGAATGTGCAATATTGGCCGGGCGCGGTGGCTCACGCCTGTAATCCTAGCACTCTGGGAGGCCGAGGCAGACGGATAGCTCGAGGTCAGGAGTTCGAAACCAGCCTGAGCAAGAGCGAGACCCTGTCTCTACTATAAATAGAAAGAAATTAATTGGCCAACTAATATATAGAGAAAAAAATTAGCCGGGCATGGTGGCGCATGCCTGTAGTCCCAGCTACTTGGGAGGCTGAGGCAGGAGGATCGCTTGAGCCCAGGAGATTGAGGTTGCTGTGAGCTAGGCTGACGCCACAGCACTTACTCTAGCCTGGGCAACAAAGCAAGACTCTGTCTCAAAAAAAAAAAAGGAATGTGCAATATTAATAGTTATTTATATAAGATGTTACCAATGGAGTTTGGAAAGTTGTATGGAAGGCACAAAAGAAAACTCAGTACTATTTTTTCATTTTCTTATATCTATAATTATTTTTAATCCTGCTTATCTAGATTTAAGTGTCTGGATATGCTGCCGTGGGGTTTTGTGGTTTGTTTACTCAAACCCAGGCGGTTGGCCAAACCTCGGCAAAGGATGAACACAAACCTGTTACCCTGCTGTCACTTCTGATCTTTGTCAATCTGTATTAAACATTTCACATAATTAAAATCATTAACCTCATACTGTGTTGTCCTCTGCATTCAGTTAACTCACATCAAATATTACTCCTCTTTTGTGTTTTTCTTAGCCGCTCCTCTTGTGTTGGTATTTGGGTTCCCAAGTTTTCCCTATAAATTGTGCTACTTTGTATTGCTTTATTATATCTTGTATCATTGAGTAAAATCCTGTTATTGTGTTGTATTACAGAGAGGTACATTGACAGGAAGGCTTGGATGGTGTAGTACAGTTTAGAGGGAGATAGTAAAGGTGAACCAGGAAGTGTTTATAGAGTCAGTGAGGACTTAACTGCGTTATAATCTGTGGTGTGGAAATGACACCTCTTGCAGTTTGTGATTAGTCTTCATTTATTTCTCTTAACAATACATACATAAAAGGCTTTCTAAATTTTTTTCTCCCCCACCCACAAGCTTTCTAAATTTTGAGAACTCACTATGTATCTGGTACTTTATAGGTATTACCATGTTTCCCTGAAAATAAGACCTACCCATAAAATAAGCCCTAGCAGGATTTCTAAGCATTTGTGCAAATATAAGCCCTATCCTGAAAATAAGACCTAGTGATGGGCATGGCTATGCAGCATATCTGCACAACCGATGCATTTCATTGCGGAGGGGTCAAGAAGACAAGCAGCCATTCTCATCTGCCCCATTGTGACAGCTACTATCCCAGAGGTGACAGGAAAGGTGCAGGCAGCCCCACCAACAAGGTCGGCTCCCCCGTCAGGTCCTGGCCATCCTATGCAAGCTGAGGCTTTGCGGGGAAAATAACACATCCCCTGAAAATAGGCCCTAGGGTGTCTTCTTGAGGAAAAAATCAATATAAGACTGTGTCTTATTTTGGGGGAAACATGGTAGCAATAAGGAGATAACAGGCCGGGCGCGGTGGCTCACGCCTGTAATCCTAGCTCTTGGGAGGCCGAGGCGGGCGGATTGCTCAAGGTCAGGAGTTCAAAACCAGCCTGAGGGAGACCCCGTCTCTACTATAAATAGAAAGAAATTAATTGGCCAACTAATATATAGAGAAAAAAATTAGCCAAGCATGGTGGTGCATGCCTGTAGTCCCAGCTACTTGGGAGGCTGAGGCAGGAGGAGTGCTTGAGCCCAGGAGTTTGAGGTTGCTGTGAGCTAGGCTGACGCCACAGCACTCACTCTAGCCTGGGCAACAAAGTGAGACTCTGTCTCCAAAAAAAAAAAAGCTATTGAGGGTAAAAATCAAGCCAGTGTTAAACATAATCCTATATAGTTCACTTAAGATATTTTGAGATAGTTGTTATATTGATTTAAAATGCTGATTTTTTTGGGAGGCTGAGGCAGCAGGATTGCTTGAGCCTAGGAGTTTGAGGTTGCTGTGAGCTAGGCTGATGCCATGGCACTCATTCTAGCCTGGGCAACAGAGTGAGACTCTGTCTCAAAATAAAATAAAATAAAATGCTAATTTTTAAACATCCTAAGTTTGTTATAGAAGAGTTAGAAATATAGTAAGCATAAGGAAAAAAATAAAAATACCTGTAATTACATTACCCCAAAATAATATTTATATTTTGGTGTGTATTTATTTGGACTTATCTACACTAACGTAAGTGCTTGTGTGTATGTTTGTTGGTTTGGGTGTTTTTTTTTTTGTTTGGTTGGTTTTTTTTAAGAATTCTTTCTTTACTTAGGAAAGATACTTAATCTTTCTAAGTATCCATTTCCTAAACTATAACGTGAGACTTTCCTGATAAATTAACAGACTTACCTATATAGTACCTTTAGCATAGTGCCTAATGCATAGAACTTGCCAATATAAACTCAGTATTGAAGCACCATGGAGCGCGGTGGCTCACGCCTGTAATCCTAGCACTCTGGGAGGCCAGGGCGAGAGGATCGCTCAAGGTCAGGAGTTTGAGACCAGCCTGAGCAAGAGCGAGACCCCCATCTCTACTATAAATAGAAAGAAAATTAGCCATACAACTAAAAATAGAAAAAATTAGCCAGGCACGGTGGCACATACCTATAGTCCCAGCTACTCGGGAGGCTGAGACAGAAGGATCGTTTGAGCCTAGGAGTTTGAAGTTGCTGTGAGCTAGGTTGACACTATATTACTCTACCCCAGGCAACACTAGAAGAATTCTTATTAAAATCACAAATAAGGATACCTACTCACTCAGCATTATTCTAGAATTTTTAGCTAAATCAGAATACTTGAAAAAGAAGTAAGCGGAATAAATATTAGAATTAGCATTATTTGTCAGTGCTGTAATTTTCTACTTGGAATTGAGAATTTACTGAAAAACCTAGAACTCAATAGGGACTCAAGTCAGGCAGAGGTAAAATATTAATATAAAATAGATATATAAAAATCAGTAATTGGCCGGGCGCTGTGGCTCACGCCTGTAATCCTAGCTCTTGGGAGGCCGAGGCGGGCGGATTGCTCAAGGTCAGGAGTTCAAAACCAGCCTGAGCAAGAGTGAGACCCCGTCTCTACTATAAATACAAAGAAATTAATTGGCCAACTGATATATATATAAAAAATTAGCCGGGCATGGTGGCGC